TTAAGAAAAAAAGGAAGTTCAACTGGACCTGCAGATTTTAGGGTCTAGACATTTTAATAGTTTTTAACCTCACTAACTGAGAACAGGGAAAGAGAAAAGGTCTGATTCACTGAAGATTGACTTGTAGGAGAGATTTGGTTTGTACAAGTTTGACTTTTTGGGGAAATGGTTGATTTTCCGTTAGTAACTGAGTCAAATAAAGAACTAGAAGCGACAAAACATTTGTTGAAACAGTTCAGGATCTCACATTTATTTGACAAAGGAACAGAGTTAACAAGAAGTTGTGATGGGAGGTCAGATGACTGGGGGCTGACTGAGAGAGATTTTATGGTTTTCCAGAATAGTTTAGGGTAATTTAGATTTTTGGAGGTCTGAGATAAGAACTAGTTGCATTTTGCGGCTTTGATGGAGATTGTGCGTTTATTCCTCATTTGCCTAAATCTTTTTTTTTTTGATCTGCCGAAATCTTAACCAATCAGTGTCTGAGCCAGATTTTCTCATTGCGGCCCAAAGATGAACTATCCTGTGAAGGAGGTCAGCTAGCTAGGTGCTGTCTTATCCTTTTATTCTGACCTGGTGGAAAGGAGCATGTTTGTTTACAAAATAAATGAAACTATTATGAAAATAGTTCCAAGCAGAGTTCACGTCGTCAATTAATAGAATACGATGCCAGTCAAAGTGAGATAAATCCCAGAGGAATGACTGTTCACAAAAACGTTTCAGATCCATTTTTTTAATTAATCTGGGCTTAGAAGGTGGAAGTTTAATGTGTACGAGAGCCGCTATTACACAATGATCACTTAAAATGTCGGCGAAAACACCTATACCGGGGAATTTGTGAGACATATTTGTTAAAAATAGGTCAAAGATAGAAGATTTTTCAGGACAGTTACGTCTGGTGGAAGAGTCAACGAGTTAGGTTAGATTAAGTGACAGGCAATATTCCTTGAATTTATCACAGAGGGGGGGTCAAATTTTCCTAGTTGAGATTAAAATCTCCGACAAGTAAAACCTCTTTGAATTGTAAATTAACTATGAAGTCTGTCAGGGAGGACAGAGCCTCAGGTGTTGCTGAGGGAGGGTGGTAACAACCCAATACAGATAAGATCTGGCCTCCATTCAAAGTTATGTTTACAGCCAAGGCCTCAAATTGGTTTGGGATTGTTTTGGCTGACACAAGGAGTAGACACAAGACTAGAATCCAGGGTTTCTCTGATGTAAATAGCAACCCCACCATCCCTTTTTTGACGATCACAGCGATAGATATTAAATCCATCGGCTGCCAGGTCATTATTCAAGACAGATTAGTTTAGCCAGAATTCAGAGATGAAGATTATATCAGCTCCATAGGAACGGACCAGAATTTTCAAAGTGTCAAGTTTTCTCAAAAGACTGTGTTTACATGTAGAAAATGAAGTCCTGACATGTTTTTAAAATCATTTGGTGTGCTGTAATGAGTGAGGAGTCCAGGGTTGGGCTGACTCCATGAGAGCAGTAACATTATTATCAGACATTTTCTTGTGTTTTTTTCTGACAGATGTGTAATTACAGGAAATAAAAGTGTGACAATTAGCCCCCATAATCGAGCCATGAGAAAAGTTAAAAAATACATGATTACCCAGTACCCAGAAACAATGAAGATTGTAGGGAGAGGTAGATCCAGCTGTGTCAATAAGGTTCAGTGACTCCAGATAGTCAGAGATCTGAAAATGGTGGGAATTTTATGAGTGATGAAGAAAAGCCTCACACCAGACAGCTTCATAAATCAAATGGGTCAATGGGCCAACGGGTCCAACATTGTGGTCCAACTGGAGTTTGAATTGTACAGAGAGGAGCACCCGTGTGGAGATGAAACTCTCAAGCTGCTCTCATGATGAACAGATGCTGGGTCCAATACCAACAGGCAGAAGTTGATAATCCACAACAAATAGCAAAGCATGGTCCTGACTTGATTCATATCAACAGAGGACAACAGCATGATCCAGGAACAAAACCTTCAGCTGACCTTTTCTGAACCGGTGGACCCGCACAGATCTATTATCCAATCAATCAATCAATCAAACTTTATTTATAGAGCCCTTTCCAGCAGCCAAAAGGTGCACAAAGTGCTGCACAGTACAGAAGTTAAAAACAAACAAGAATAAAAAATCAGTCAGTTAAAAACAAAAACAATTGCAATTAAAACATAGCAAAATTGTAAAAGACCTACTAGGTATTAAAAGCCTGCCTGAATAAAAAGGTTTTAAGATTAGATTTAAAATGCTCCATGTCAGTGATGGTGCGCAAGTCCTGAGGTAGCTGGTTCCAGAGTCTGGGTGCGACAACCGAAAAGGCCCGGTCACCCCATCGTTTGTAGTTGGATTTTGAGACAGAAAGTAGAAATGTATTAGAAGATCTCAGTGTTCTCCTATATTCACGGACAGCTACAAGATTAGACAAATATAGTGGGGCAAGACCATTGAGAGCTTTAAAAGTGAATAATAAAATTTTTAATTTAATTCTAAAATCGACTGGAAGCCAGCGGAGGGAAAATAAAACAGGGGTGATGTGCTCACGTCTGGAGGTGTTGGTTAAAAGTCGAGCTGCAGCATTTTGGACCAATTGCAGGCGTCTAATGGAGGATTGGGAGATTCCTGCATATAGGGAATTGCAGTAGTCGAGCCTTGAAGTTATAAAAGCATGGATGGCCTTTTCCAAGTCAGAACGATTTAAAAAAGGCTTAACTTTGGATAAAAGACGTAACTGATAAAAACAGGCCTTGACTACAGAGGATATTTGTTTGTCAAACTTTAAGTCTTTATCAAATATCACTCCCAAGTTTTTAACTGTGGATCTGAACTTGGATGTCAGAGCACCAAAGTTACAGGGAGCATCATCACCAAAGAAAATGCATTCTGTCTTTCCTTCGTTTAAAAACAAAAAATTAAGATGAAGCCACTGTTTAATGTCGGCAATACAATCAGCGAAAGGTGTGAGAAGGTTACTGTTTTTAGGTTTCATTGGTAAATAAATTTGTACATCATCAGCACAGCAGTGAAAAGAAAAATTATGTTTGGCTATCACTGATACAAGGGGCAGCATGTACAATGAGAAGAGGACAGGAGCAAGAATAGAACCCTGTGGCACACCACAAGAGAGAGGGGCAGTGGAGGAAGACAGATTATTCAGCATGACAGAGAACGTTCTGTTGGTCAAATAAGCAGTGAACCACTTGAGAGCTGTACCAGAAATTCCAACATAATGTTGGAGACGAGACAACAGGACAGCGTGGTCCACTGTGTCAAACGCAGCTGTAAGGTCCAGCAGCACCAGAGCAACGGGACACTTGACATCCATGGACATGGAAATGTCATTATGGACTTTTAACAGGACTGATTCGGTATAATGACGGGTTCTAAATCCAGACTGAAATGTTTCATAAATACCATGGTTTTCTAAAACAGGTTGTGACTGCATAAAAACAACTTTTTCTAAGACTTTAGCTAAAAAAAAGCAGATGTGAAATAGGTCTAAAATTTGATAAAAGTGATTGGTCTAGGTGAGGTTTTTTAAGAAGGGGCCTAACCACAGCATGTTTAAATGCAGCAGGGACAATTCTTAGACGAAGGCAGGAGTTTAAAAATGTTAAAATACAGAAACCCACAGAATTAAAAACCTCTTGCAAAAACTTGGAGGGAAGAACGTCCAGTGGGCAATTAGTGAGCTTCATGTGTTGAACAACATCAGTGAGAGCGGCAAGAGACACTGGTTGAAAGTGTTCAAACACGACTGGAGCTACAGAGGCAACAGAGGAGTCAGGAGCAACAGAACTAGTGACCCGTCTGACTGAGGCCACTTTATCATGGAAGAATTTTAGAAAGTTTTCAGTTAGTGGCTGTGGCATCTGGTGAAATACGCACAGCTGGGTTAATAACATAATTAATTGTGTTAAATAACACTCTAGGACAATGTCAGTTATTTGAAATTAAACCAGATAAATATAGACATTTTGCCTCTTTTACAGATTTCTGGTAGTTTATAAGGCATTCTCTCAAAAATTTAAGAGATGAAAGAAGTTTGTCTTTCTTCCATTGTCGTTCTGCTTTCCTACATTTTTTCCTGAGAGCGCGAGAGGCATCGTTTAACCACAATCCAGGTGAGTTTTAGAATGGAAACCCATCAGAACTCCGATGCAGACTCCGGTTTTCTTTCGAGCAGCTGCTCCTCGGCGCTTCACAGCACGAGAGGTTTCCTCCAGGCGAACAATGATGAGAACTAACTGGAGAGGCTGAAGTCGTCCTTGGCTCGGTTCTGTTCTGTTCTAGTCCGGTTCCATCAGGCACCACCGCTGCCAAAAGCAAACGCCACGGAGGTGGACGATCCTTCGGTGAAAGGTAATGGGCTGCCCGCTGAAGTTGACCGGCTCTGTTCAGGACGAGTTCCCCCACAGCCCAGCTCGGTTCGGTTCTGGTCCAATTCGGGTCAACTTCCCCAACACCGACTGCAGACACCCACATGGAGCCAGTCCAACAGAAAGCCAGCAAAATATGTGTGTCCCATCAGTGTATGAATGTGATAAATAACTAATTAATCTCCACCTGGTGGTGGATGGGTTAAATGAAGTCCATTTCATCATTGTATGGGAACATACGATGACAATACATACACATTATTAGTAGTATATAGTAGAGTGCTGTATGAATGGATAAATGAGGGCACAGCTTGTGTTGTAAAACAATGAGTATCAAGAAAAGGCACTACATAAATACAGTCCACTTACCATCTCGGGGGCCGAGGCAGGGCAGCCGACTGGGGACCAGAAAGTCGCGGCTCAACTCCCTGCCATTCCCGCATGCAGTGGTGTCCTTGAGCAAGACACCCAATCCCTAATTGCTCCCCGGGTGTGTACATAGCTGCCCACTGCTCCAGCTGGGTGTATCTCAGGCGTGACGGGTTAAATTCAGAGAAATAATTTCATCATTGTATGGGAACATTTAGCACTTACTTATTAGGCCAGACTGTCTCAACTCAGACTTTATTTCTTTTCAGTGAAAATGCAGGTAGGTGTGCACCAAGAGGTTTACATCAAGTACTTAAAACCATTTCACAAATATTGTTGGCTTGAAACTGAAAACTCAAAAATGGCTTGAAATACAAAAGCTTAAATTAGACATGTGTGCACCTTTTTTGACCTTGTTTAATGTCAGCTACGAGTGATCACGTCTCAAAGTTTAATTTGGAAATTGGTTACATTTAAAGTTACACCCATACATTTTATCTGTCCCAGACATAGACACACATATACACACTGAATGACAGTAAAACAAAACAACTACTTCTGGGGTGACTATAATTATAATGTCTGATAAAACTGATATCAAATGGTGACAATTCTGAGCAGGAAGGTATAACTTCAAGTTTGAGGGAACAGGAGGTGCAGATGTTTTTACTGGGTCATTTGGGCTTCCATAGCCTGTGCGGCCCACTCCGGTGCTGCCTGACGGATCTTTTCTAGGAGGTTGTTGACTTGAAAACATAAAGACTGGATCTGTTTGTCCCAGGTAGGAAGTGGTTCACGAGCTGTCAAAGATGAAAGGAAAAATTAGAAAACAAATTTTCATTTTATGACATGTTGAGACAGAATGACAGCCAGGTGCTGAAAAAAACCAAGTGATCCAACAGTATTTCATGTGGTCTGCAACTCCTGTACTCAAGGATGTAATTGCTCTGGATGCTGCATTTGAAAAAGTAGAAGAGGATTATCTGTTTTCAATTCAGGGAAAAGTTGGATTTGGTTCATTTATCTCATCGATTAATATATGCTCAGGCAGCTATCAGAACAAAAGACAAACTGAATACATTTCATTACACTGTTCAACAAGGTAGGGATGTCCACTATGCCCTCTTTTATTTGCCAGTGTAATGGAGCCTCCACCTGTTGGTTTACAGTTTCATCCTGATATATGTGACACAACTTGAACCAGTGTAGAGCTACAGCTAAATACAAACACACTCAGTTAGGGTTTCACCTGCAGGAAATCATACTTTCCTCCATCCTTATCTACTTAGTTTAGGTATGAAATTTGTAAAAATAAAAAAATAAAAATTAGATTTGCAAATTTGATTAATTAATTTTTTTCTTTTCAACAGCTGCCAAACAAAGTTCTCGCTCTAAAGATAAAGCCCCATTTACACGAGAACAACCTCTGGAAACGTTAGTGTTTTTTCAATGTTTATTGGGAGTAATAAACAAAAAATGAGCAAGTTTACATGAAAAACACTGTAGTTTCTACGTCAGGTGGGTTGCCAGATAAGAAATTATTAACTATAGTACTGTGGCTTTAAAATGAAAGTATTTTGACCTAAACTGTCATATGTGCAGAGTAAAGATATTCTAAGATGAGGTGTGTGTTGTTTGTTGAACATGTGCACAGAAAAGGAGGGGGTAAATAAGACATTTAAAATTTATCTGGCAACCCTGAGCTGCATTCATTGTGCATGCGGCATCTGCATGACAGTTAGGTCCAAACTGGTGAACACACCAACGTCTCTTTGGAGCCTGGACTTTATGTTTTGCTGTTACATGCTGAAAATGGGTGAGCAGCACAAAAACACTCTACTCTCTGCCTTTTATTATAACTGTTGTTATTTATTATAACTGTTGTTATTTATTATA